CACCCCCAAGAAAAAAATAAATAAAAAAAATCATCATTAAACCTGTGTACGGATCCGGGGCGCCAGGCCGACCAGCGCCTGCCCGGGGGAGGTCCCGGGCAGCCTGGCCGGGCGGGCGGCCTGGTTGGGGGCCGGCCCCCCCCAGCACACCTTGCTGGCGGGGGGTTTCCGACCCCGAATCGGCCAGATTGTGTCTCCCCAGGGCCTACCGGGTCCGACCACGCCCAGAAAACGGCGCGTCGGGCCCGTGAGGCCTGTTTTTTTTTTTGAATTTGTGACGGCCCTCCGGCCGTAGATCATCCATGATCGACGGCCAGAGGGCCGTTTGTTTTTTGGAGGGAAAACCCAGGCCCCGTTTGAACAACGACTGGCTTGGGCGGCCTGCATTGGCTGGCGAAACGGGGCCTCCCTCCAGCCGCCTGCGTTCGTCCTCGACTCGCCCTCGCTCCTCGCGCTGCCCGTTGTTGCCATCACCTGGGAGCTGCGCTCGCCCGTCGTCGTGGAGTCGCCTGTTGCCCGTCGTCGTGGAGTCGCCCGTCGCCCGTCGCCAGCGTCGTGGAGTCACCCGTTGCTCGTCCCCCTCTCATCTTCTTCTTCTTCTTCTTCTTCTTCTTCTTCTTCTTCTTCTTCTTCTTCCTCTTCTTCTTCTCTCCTCCTCCTCCTCTTCCGACTATCTTTTTTTTCTTCCTAGCCGCCCTCCTCCTCCTCCTTCTTCTTCTTCTTCTTCTTCTTCTTCTTCCTCTTCTTCTTCCTCCTCTTCTTCTTCTCTCCTCCTCCTCTTCCGACTATCTTTTTTCTCTTCTTTTTTTTTGTTCCATTCGTCAGCGATAGGTCGCGAGATAAACGACAGGTAAGAAAAAGAAAAAGAAAAAAACTGCTCCGCTCTCTCCTCCTCCGCCTCCCCCTCATCTTCTTCTCCTTCATCTTCTCTCCTCCTCCTCCTCTTCGGCCCATCTTTTTCTTCTTCTTCTTCTTCTTCTTCTTCTTTTCTCCTCCGCCTCGCCCTCATCTTCTTCTCCTTCCTCTTCTCTCCTCCTCCTCCTCTTCCGTATGTACTTGGTATCACACATGCAGCAAACAGCAGGCAACATAAATGCAGAGTCCCCAACACCCAGA